AAATTGAAAAATGTGTCCCTGAACAAAGGGGGGGTCAAAATCAAAAGTAACAGTCAGCATCTGGTGTGGCCACCAGCTGCATTAAGTAATGCAGTGCATCTCCTCCTCATGGACTGCACCAGATTTGCCAGTTCTTCCTGTGAGATGTTACCCCACTCTTCCACCAAGGCACCTGCATTTCTGGGGGGATTGGCCCTAGCCCTCACCCTCCGATCCAACAGGTCCCAGACGTGCTCAATGGAATTGAGATCCAGGCTCTTCCCTGGCCATGGCAGAACACTGACATTCCTGTCTTGCAGGAAATCACGCACAGAACGAGCAGTATGGATGGTGGCATTGTCATGCTGGAGTGTCATGTCAGGATGAGCCTGCAGGAAGGGTACCACATGAGGGAGGAGGATGTCTTCCCAGTAACGCACAGCGTTGAGATTGCCTGCAATGACAACAAGCTCAGTCCGATGATGCTGTGACACACCGCCCCAGACCATGACGGACCCTCCACCTCCAAATCGATCTCCCGCTCCAGAGTACAGGCTCGGTGTAATGCTCATTCCTTTGACGATGAACGCGAATCTGACCATCACCCCTGGTGAGACAAAACCGTGACTCGTCAGTGAAGAGCACTTTTTGCCAGTCCTGTCTGGTCCAGCGACGGTGGGTTTGTACCCATAGGCGACGTTGTTGCCGGTGATGTCTGGTGAGGACCTGCCTTACCACAGGCCTACAAGCCCTCAGTCCAGCCTCTCTCAGCCTATTGCGGACAGTCTGAGCACTGTTCGAGGGATTGTGCGTTCCTGGTGTAACTCGGGCAGTTGTTGTTGCCATCCTGTACCTGTCCCGCAGGTGTGATGTTCGGATGTACCGATCCTGTGCAGGTGTTGTTACACGTGCTCTGCCACTGCGAGGACGATCAGCTGTCCGTCCTGTCTCCCTGTAGGGCTGTCTTAGGGGTCTCACAGTACAGACATTGCAATTTATTTCCCTGGCCACATCTGCAGTCCTCATGCCTCCTTGCAGCATGCCTAAGGCACGTTCACGCAAATGAGCAGGGACCCTGGGCATCTTTCTTTTGGTGTTTTTCAGTGTGACCTTAATTGCTTACCGTCTGTAAGCTGTTAGCGTCTTAACGACCGTTCCACAGGTGCATGTTCATTAATTGTTTATGGTTCATTGAACAAGCATGGGAAACAGTGTTTAAACCCTTTACAATGAAGATCTGTGAAGTTATTTGGATTTTTACGAATTATCTTTGAAAGACAGGGTCCTGAAAAAGGGACCTTTCTTTTTTTGCTGAGTTTATATATATTTTTAATCAATTTTAGAATAAGGCTGTAAAGTAACAAAATGTGGAAAAAGTCAAGGGGTCTGAATACTTTCCGAATGCACTACCGTACAAAAGTTTGGGGTCACTTAGAAATGTCCTTGCAATTTTTTTGTCCATTAAAATAACATCAAATTGATCAGAAATACAGTGTAGACATTGTTAATGTTGTAAATGGCTATTGTAGCTGGAAACGGCTGATTTTTAATGGCATATAAACACATAGACGTACAGTGGCCCATTATCAGAAACCATCAGTCATGTGTTCCAATGGCACGTTGTGTTTGCTAATCCAAGTTTATCATTTTAAAAGGCTAATTGATCATTAGAAAACCCTTTTGCAATTGTTAGCGCAGCTGAAAACGGTTGTGCTGATTAAATAAGCAATAACTGGCCTTCTTGAGACTAGTTGAGTATCTGGAGCATCAGCAATAGTGGGTTCGATTACAGGCTCAAAATGGCCAGAAACAAATAACTTTCTTCTGAAACTCGTCAGTCTATTCTTGTTCTGAGAAATGAAGGCTATTCCATGCGAGAAATTGCCAAGAAACTGAAGATCTCGTACAACGCTGTGTACCACTCCCTTCACAGAACAGCAAAGAAAAAGCCATATCTCAGATCTTAATATTTTATTTTTATTGGCCAGTCTGAGATATGGCTTTTTCTTTGCAACTCTGCCTAGAAGGTCAGCATCCTGGAGTCACCTCTTCACTGTTAACGTTGAGACTGGTGTTTTGCGGGTACCATTTAATGATGCTGCCAGTTGAGGACCTGTGAGGCATCTGTTTCTCAAACTAGACACTAATGTATTTGTCCTCTTGCTCAGTTGTGCACCGGGGCCTCCCACTCCTCTTTCTATTCTGGTTAGAGCCAGTTTGCGCTGTTCTGTGAAGGGAGGAGTACACAGCGTTGTACGAGATCTTCAGTTTCTTGGCAATTTATCGCATGGAATAGCCTTCATTTCTCAGAACAAGAATAGACTGACGAGTTTCAGAAGAAAGTTATTTGTTTCTGGACATTTAGATTCTGTAATCAAACCCACAACTGCTGATGCTCCAGATACTCAACTAGTCTCAAGAAGGCCAGTTTTATTGCTTCTTTAAATCAGCACAACCGTTTTCAGCTGTGCTAACGTAATTGCAAAACGTTTTTCAAATGATCAATTAGCCTTTTAAAATGATAAACTTCGATTAGCAAACATAACGTGCCATTAGAATACATGACTGATGGTTGCTGATAATGGGCCTCTGTACGCCTATGTAGATATACCATTTTGGTTTTTGTTTTTAAATCAGCCGTTTCCAGCTACAATAGCTATTTACAACATTAACAATGTCTACACTGTATTTCTGATCAATTTGATGTTATTTTAATGAATAAAAAAATTGCTTTTCTTTCAAAAACTAGGACATTTCTAAGTGACCCCAAACTTTTGAACGGTAGTGTATACAGTTGAAGTCGGAAGTTTACATACTCCTTAGCCAAATACATTTAAACTCAGTTTTTCACACATTTAATCCTAGTAAAAATTCCCTGTCTTAGGTCAGTTAGCATCACCACTATATTTTAAGAATGTGAAATGTCAGAATAATACTAGAGAGAATTATTTCTTTCAGCTTTTATTTCTTTCATCACATTCCCAGTGGGTCAGAAGTTTACATACACTCAATTAGTATTTGGTAGCATTGCCTTTAAATTGTTTAACTTGGGTCAAACGTTTTGGGTAGTCTTCCACAAGCTTCCCACAATAAGTTGGGTGAATTTTGGCCCATTCCTCCTGACAGAGCTGTTGTAACGGAGTCAGGTTTGTAGGCCTCCTTGCTCGCACATGCTTTTTCAGTTCTGCCCACAAATGTTCTATAGAATTGAGGTCAGGGCTTTGTGATGGCCACTCCAATACCTTGACTTTGTTGTCCTTAAGCCATTTTGCCACAACTTTGGAAGTATGCTTGGGGTCATTGTCCGTTTGGAAGACCCATTTACGACCAAACTTTAACTTCCTGACTAATGTCTTGAGATGTTGCTTCAATATATCCACATAATTTTCCTTCCTCATGATGCCATCTATTTTGTGAAGTGCACCAGTCCCTCCTGCAGCAAAGCACCCCCACAGCATGATGCTGCCACCCCCGTGCTTCACGGTTGGAATGGTGTTCTTCGGCTTGCAAGCCACCTCCTTTTTCCTCCGAAGATAACGATGGTCATTATGGCCAAACAGTTCTATTTTTGTTTCATCAGACCAGAGGACATTTCTCCAAAAAGTACGATCTTTGTCCCCATGTGCAGTTGCAAACCGTAGTCTGGCTTTTGTATGGCGGTTTTGGAGCAGTGGCTTCTTCCTTGCTAAGCAGCCTTTCAGGTTATGTCGATATAGGACTCGTTTTACTGTGAATATAGATACTTTTGTACCTGTTTCCTCCAGCATCTTCACAAGGGTCCTTTGCTGTTGTTCTGTGATTGATTAGCACTTTTTGCACCAAAGTACGTTCATCTCTAGGATACAGAACGCGTCTCCTTCCTGAGCAGTATGACGGCTGCGTGGTCCCATGGTGTTTATACTTGCGTACTATTGTTTGTACAGATGAACGTGGTAACCTCAGGCGTTTGGAAATTGCTCCCAAGGATGAACCCGACTTGTGGAGGTCTACAATTTGTTTTCTGAGGTCTTGGCCGATTTCTTTTGATTTTCCCATGATATCAAGCAAAGAGGCACTGAGTTTAATAATAATAATATGCCATTTAGCAGACGCTTTTATCCAAAGCGACTTACAGTCATGTGTGCATACATTTTTTACGTATGGGTGGTCCCGGGGATCGAACCCACTACCCTGGCGTTACAAGCGCCATGCTCTACCAATTGAGCTACAGAGGACCACAGTTTGAAGGTAGGCCTTGAAATACATCCACAGGTACACCTCCAATTGACTCAAATTATGTCAATTAGCCTATCAGAAGCTTCTAAAGCCATGACATCATTTTCTGGAATTTTCCAAGCTGTTTAAAGGCACCGTCAACTTAGTGTATGTAAACTTCTGACCCACTGGAATTGTGATACAGTGAATTATAAGTGAAATAATCTGTCTGTAAACAATTGTTCGAAAAATTACTTGTGTCATGCAAAAGGTAGATGTCCTAACCAACTTGCTAAAACTATAGTTTGTTAACAAGAATTGTGGGTTGAAAAACGAGTTTTAATGACTCCAACCTAAGTGTATGTAAACTTCCGACTTCAACTGTATATATAATTTTCTTCGGACTCCTTGCGGTACTGCTGCGTCCCCCAGTTGAATACCCCTGTTCTAGAATATTAATATCTTATATTCTGAGAACATGGCAACCATGTTCTATGTAAGTTTGGTGGGACGTTGATGGAAGGTTCTCCTAACCCTCAGAAAACTGGACGCAAATTTCCCATGAAACGTGTCTAGAACATGAATATTAAATATTCTGAGAACATGTTAACCACGTTCTGGGTTAGTTCTGTTTGACATTAAGGGAATGGTCTCTTGAAAACCATCCTTGCACGTCACTGGAACATTACTATGAAAACATTAGGTAATAACCTAATGAGACTCTTGAGAGCATTCTCTAAAGTTATGTGAACGTTTGTTGTGAGCTGAGTAGATTTGATAAAACTCCAGATTAAGCATTTGGGTTGTCATCTCATTTGTGTTTTTCCTCAGACTACCCCTACTGAGACCAAGGTGATCCCCATCATGAACCCCAAACTGACCCAGGAACGGCAGAAACAGCTTTGCTCCTTACTGGGAAACGTCAGACTCAGCCTGCTGTTCAAGGCCAGTATACATGGCTACACAGGAGCAGCCTTTCACCAGAAATGTGACCACCAAGGTCCCACAGTCTCTGTAGGATATAACTCCACAGGGTTTGTTTTTGGAGGCTACACTAGTAAAGATCATGATGTAGTCAAGCTCAACCAGTACATACAGGATGACAAAGCCTTTTTGTTCAGTTTAACTGGTAGAAATCCTGTCACGTATCCTGTCACATATGCCCAATATGCGGTCAAAATGCTTAAAACAACTGGCCCTTACTTTGGGGAGGATTTAATGTTTATGAACGCTAACACAGCTACAGTGATCAGCAGCCCAGGAAATTACTACAACTTCAATGATGCAGAAATGCATGGCAACGACCTCAACCTAACTGAGTGTGAGGTGTACAAAGTGGAAGGTGAGTGTAGAATAAATTATCTGTTCTCTCTTTAAATGTGTATTATTGTTATTGTTCATGTTATTGTGCTTTTTTTTTTTTTTTACAGAGGGTGGTATCATCGAAAAGCCATGGAGGACAATTCTTTGGAAAGCTGAGTAAGCTCTACCTAGAAATTAACCTAATGTTATTCTTTTGTGATGCAGTAATGCCTATGTTGATGTTTTGACTACAAGAATTGCATCATGTGATTCTCACATGGGCCACATATACTGAATGTTATAATATTGATGAGTACAGTACATTAAAGTATTTGCGTATTAAATGAAGAGGTTCTTTTTTTCCACAGGAACAGAAATGCGCTGATGGAGTCTGTTAAGCTCTACAAGCCCATGATCAGTACTGTGGGTCAGGCCAGAGTTCTACTCATCGGCCCCGTCGGTGCTGGAAAGTCCAGCTTTTTCAACTCTGTCAACTCTATCTTCCGAGGCCATGTGACCAGCCAGGCCATATCGGGCAGCTCTGGCACCAGTCTGACCACCCAGGTATGTGGTCTACCATGTTAACCAACTGGTCTTCTTTTTGTGTCTCTGCTTAAAAAATTTGAATGCATGTCATCATATTTATGTGGACAAAACACAGTTTACCTACCTTTTTTGGCTCAACGGTCTACCCACCTTTTGAATGTATAGGGAGCGTTACTTTTTCTGTTCATAGTTTACCTACCAATTTTTTTAACCACTACATCACTGGATTAAAGGATGACTTATGAATTGCATTTCACAGTTTCGCACCTACTCAGTGAAGGCAGGACGCGATGGCAAACCTCTGCCAATCATTTTGTGTGACACGATGGGATTGGAGGAGGCCACGGGAGCGGGGCTAGATGTCGATGACATCAGCAGCATTCTGAAAGGCCATGTGCCAGACAGATACCAGGTGAGGGGCACCACACACAAACACACTTTGCTTCTCCTCGGTGTGAACGAAACTCACTCTATTTCCCTTTCCCAGTTCAACCCCTCAGTCCCTCTGCAAGCAGATGCCCACGGATTGCGGCAGTCTGTGAACCTGCAGGACAGGATCCACTGTGTGGTGTATGTCATGGACACCTGCAAAGTCTCCATTATGTCCACCAAACTGGAGGAGAAACTGGCAGCCATTCGCAGGAGGGTCAACCTGCTAGGTCAGTCAGTCAGAGAGAATACTGGGTTAAAGGTTATGGATTATACAGATACTAGCTCAATCCCTGGTTAGTGACACTAAAGGAGGGTTGTTGTTCCACAGGTATTCCACAGCTGGTTCTTCTGACCAAGGTGGATGAGGCCTGTCCGTGTGTTACAGACAACTTGAGGAACGTGTACAACAGCCAGTACATAAAGACCAAGGTGAGCTCTGCACTTCCCCCTGCATTAGATGACTATGAACAGTCACATGAACGTTTGGGTAACATTGGGGTAACGTTTGGTGTGTCCCGACTCCCATAGGCCCAGGAGGTGAGTGGCCGTCTGGGGGTGCCCATGTCCTGTATTGTCCCAGTGAAGAACTACAGTGAAGAGCTGGAGCTGGACATGAGCTGTGACATCCTGCTCCTCAGCGCCCTCATCCAGATGCTCCGCTTTGCAGACAACTACTTTGATGAAGTCAGCGACCAAGAGAAGCACAACCAGACCAAGTGAGGACCAAGTGGAGGAGACCACCCTGCATGGTGGTGGTATTGCCTGTCTAGGCCACCTTGTTTAGTCCTCTCTGCCTCATTCTGTATATCTTGTTCTATGATGTTCATGTAATCATTATGATGACTAGTTATCATTACACTAAACTACAGAATGGTGAAGCTCAATGATAAGAATAACATGCCTGATTGAGCCTACATCTTGAATATTTAATTCAATTGCTAGAAATCATTTGTGTTTAGGCCTTGATTGAAAGTTAGTTCACTAGCGTTGCTAATTATGTTGTTTACCTCATTGTGATTATTTTGATTATATGGGATAGATGAAAGGCCTGGGTTTCCTTCACATGTTCAGTGGTTGCTTTGCATCAAACTAAAGGCATCACCACTCTATACTAGTTGATCCTATATAGTCAGTTCTTGGCCAGTCTCATATAGCAATCTGCTCCTCAGAATATACCCAAGCTGATGAGAAAATAGAGGTAAAACTTAGTACAAGATCATGTTGTTTATATTGGATTCACTTCACATTTAGCTTGCAAATGCTTGAAGTTTAATCACTAGATGGCAGTATATCACCATTAAACTGAAAATAAGTTGCTGATAGTATGTACTGCTGTTGGAAAAGCTGCCCATTGTGTCCTCATTTTTCATTGTGTTAGTTGACACTGTATGGTACATTTAAATCACCATTGATCACATGTGAAACAGTAACAGTCAATGGAATGAACATGTTTGAGCATGTTTTTTGAGCAGTGTTTCACTGTTCCCCTTTATATTTGTCCTGACCTGTTCCTGGACTACTCTGCTTTCTTTCAAATATAAACTGTCAACTACTTTCTGCTGCCACGTCTTGCCGGTGTTCAGCGGCGTATAGCAATAATGGTAACATTTTGCATTACAACTAAGGAGCTTTAACTTCATTTAGACACCATGTCCCTTCTAGGACAGGTTACACAGAGGTCTTACTGTGTAATGCAGTGTGATTCACTGTCCTCGCCCGAGAAAAGGAACACAAGCACTCTGCTGAGTCTGCTCCAAAACAGTGGGAGAATATTTTATTTTTGGGGCCTCGCCAACTCTTTCAAATGACGTCGCTGGAAGACCAGAGCTCCCACCATTGCTGAAATGCAAACACCCCCTCCCAACGCCTAACTCATATCTCCTATATGAAAGCAGAAATGAAATACAATAAAAGTCAAACATGTATGACAAAGCCATAATGTGTCAGAAGTCCAGTTTAGATTGTGACCGAGGGATCCAAAAGAGTAGTTTTGGTCCAGGGTGACTTCATTTAATTGGATCTTTATCAGTAGACTTGCTAAATGTCACTGTGACATTAAAATATTTCAAAATGACAAGCGGAAGGTTCTTGAACATTATTTTGTATACTTTATTAATCAATAGACTGCTCACAGGTTTATGTTAGGCTCATGTGTGTTTACATGTTACCTTGTACAACACCAAAACACAAGACAATAACCAATTAGATAAAAATTCATAATTACAACGTGTGTGCCAGCTTTTGTTCCAGTTTAGATCCTACACACCTGATTCAACTCATTTAGACCCTTAAAGACAAGGTCCAATGTGTTGTCTTTGTGGTGGATGCTTCTAAAGTGTCCAGCTACACCCTTGAGCCGCAGGAAGTAGGTGTGCTGAGGGTGCTGCAGCACCCCATGAAAAATTATGAATAATAAAAAAAAATTGACAGAAGTAGTGTGTGCACTGGGCCTTTACTAGTCCTGTATTAGCGGACCGATATACAGTTGAAGTCGGAAGTTTACATACACCTAGGTTGGAGTCATTAAAACTTGTTCATCAACCACTACACACATTTCTTGTTAACAAACTATAGTTTTGGCAAGTCGGTTAGGACATCTACTTTGTGCATGACAAGTAATTTTTCCAACAATTGTTCACAGATAGATTATTTCACTTATAATTCACTGTATCACAATTCCAGTGGGTCAGAAGTTTACATACACTAAGTTGACTGTGCCTTTAAACAGCTTGGAAAATTCCAGAAAATGATGTTATGGCTTTAGAAGCTTCTGATAGGCTAATTGACATCATTTGAGTCAATTGGAGGTGTACCTGTGGATGTATTTCAAGCCTTACCTTCAAACTCAGTGCCTCTTTGCTTGACATCATGGGAAAATCAAAAGAAATTAGCCAAGACCTCAGAAAAAAATTGTAGACAACAAGTCTGGTTCATCCTTGGGAGCAATTTCCAAACGCCTGAAGGTACCACATTCATCTGTATAAACAATAGTACGCAAGTATAAACACCATGGGACAACGCAGCCGTCATACCGCTCAGGAAGGAGACGCGTTCTGTCTCCTAGAGATGAATGTACTTTGGTGCGAAAAGTGCAAATCAATCCCAGACCAACAGCAAAGGACCTTGTGAAGATGCTGGAGGAAACAGGTACAAAAGTATCTATATCCACAGTAAAACAAGTCCTATATCGACATAACCTGAAAGGCCACTCAGCAAGGAAGAAGCCAATGCTCCAAAACCGCCATAAAAAAGCTAGACTACAGTTTGCAGTTGCACATGGGGACAAAGATCGTACTTTTTGGAGAAATGTCCTCTGGTCTGATGAAACAAAAATAGAACTGTTTGGCCATAATGACCATCGTTATGTTTTGCAGGAAAAAGTGGGTGCTTGCAAGCCGAAGAACACCATCCCAACCGTGTATAAGGCCATAAGTAAACAGGAAAACGCTCATCCAGAGGCAGCGCTCCTTTAATGCAGGGAAACTTAAATCCGTTCTACCTAATTTCTACCAGCATGTTAAATGTGCAACCAGAGGAATAAAAAAAAACTCTAGACCACCTTTACTCCACACACTGAGACGCATACAAAGCTCTCCCTTCGCCCTTCATTTGGCAAATCTGACCATAACTATCCTCCTGATTCCTGCTTATAAGCAAAAACTAAAGCAGGAAGCACCAGTGACTCAGTTAATAAAAAAGTGGTCAGATGACGCAGATGCTAAGCTACAGGACTGTTTTGCTAGCACAGACTGGAACATATTCCGGGATTCTTCAAATAGCATTGAGGAGTACCCCACATCAGTCACTGGCTTCATCAATAAGTGCATCGATGACGTCGTCCCCACAGTGACCGTACGTACATACCCCAACCAGAAGCCATGGATTACAGGCAACATTCACACTGAGCTAAAGGGTAGAGCTGCCGCTTTCAAGGAGTGGGACTCTAACCCGGACACTTATAAGAAATCCCGCTATGCCCTCTGACGAACCATCAAACAGGCAAAGAGTCAATACAGGACTAAGATTGAATCGTACTACACCGGCTCTGACGCTCGTCGGATGTGGCAGGGCTTGAAAACTATTACAGACTACAAAAGGGAAACACAGCCGCGAGCTGCCCAGTGACACAAGCCTACCAGACGAGCTAAACCACTTCTATGCTGGCTTCGAGGCAAGCAACACTGAAGCATGCATGAGAGCACCAGCTGTTCCGGATGACTATGTGATCACGCTCTCCATAGCCGATGTGAGTAAGACTTTTAAGCAGGTCAACATTCACAAGGCCGCAAGGCCAGACGGATTACCAGGACGTGTACTCCGATCATGTGCTGACCAACTGGCAAGTGTCTACACTGACATTTTCAACATGTCCCTGACTGAGTCTATAATACCAACATGTTTCAAGCAGACCACCATAGTCCCTGTCCCCAAGGACACTAAGATAACCTGCCTAAATGACTACCGACCCGTAGCACTGACGTCTGTAGCCATGAAGTGCTTTGAAAGTCATGGCTCACATCAACACCATTATCCCAGAAATCCTAGACCCACTCCAATTTGCATACTGCCCCAACAGATCCACAGATGATGCAATCTTTATTACACCCCACACTGCCCTTTCCCAACTGGACAAGAGGAACACCTATGTGAGAATGCTATTCATTGACTACAACTCAGCGTTCAACACCATAGTGCCCTCAAAGCTCATCACTAAGCTAAGGATCCTGGGACTAAACACCTCCCTCTGCAACTGGATCCTGTACTTCCTGACAGGCGCCCCCAGGTGGTAAGGGTAGGTAACAACACATATGCCATGCTGATCCTCAACACGGGAGCCCCTCAGGGGTGTGTGCTCAGTCCCCTCCTGTACTCCCTGTTCACCCATGACTGCATGGCCAGGCACGACTCCAACACCATCATTAAGTTTGCCGACGACACAACAGTGGTAGGCCTGATCACTGACAACGATGAGACAGCCTATAGGGAGGAGGTCAGAGACCTGGCTGTGTGGTGCCAGGATAACAACCTCTCCCTCAACGTGACCAAGACAAAGGAGATGATTGTGGACTACAGGAGAAAAAAAAGAGGACTGAGCACGCCCCCATTCTCATCGACGGGGCTGTAGTGGAACAGGTTGAGAACTTCAAGTTCATTGGTGTCCACATCACCAACGAACTATCATGGTCCAAACACAATGTCCCCCCAGTCAGTAAATTGTTTTGCAGCACCTCCACCCCCAAACACCTTCCAACAGCTCCGGAAACACATAAGTGACCTGGGTGCGCACAATTGGAAGTGTTTTATCAATGGCATTAAATGGTTGTAGGAACTGTGCCCAATTCTGTCAGTTGACAGTGTGTGAAACAAATGTGTTTTGTAGGTTTGCATCAAGTGGCACTGCTGACACAAGTGGACCAGGTGCGTCAGGAAACCTCCCGTGACATCAACCAAGTGTACAACAGCCGGGTCGTTCAGCAGACGGTACTCTCAATAATACCCCTGATTGATGTCAGTCATTAGCAATTTGAATATCTGAAATGTTCACATATGATATCCCATTTCATGGACCCAAGATCTGTACATTGCAATACGAATGCTCAATACACATAGTAGGTTGACTGGTGAGTTAACGTGGCTCATTTCACAGTGGTGTCAGTCCTGCAATAAGAGCTACTACTAATATTTGTGTGAACTCTTCACAGTTGTGTTCTGTAGGCGTCACTGAGTAGGCTGATACCCCATTTCATGGACCCAACATCCAAGATCCATAGGTAAGGCTGTACATTACAATATGAATGTTCAATGCGCACAATAGGCTGAATAGTGACGTGATTTACACAGTCAATGTCCTGCAACATGAGCTACAACGCTATATTGGCCCTGGACGAATATGTGACCGACCGCCTTGAGTCGGTCTTATGTAGCAAAATTGGAAATGTTTTTTTTTTTTTTTTACATTGGATAAAAGCAGAGACACAGAGCTACAAAATGGTATACCATACACTGCATTTAAGGGAACAACGGGAAAGTAATTCTGCTTTGAAAGTTAATAAACTTGTAATCTCACTTTTGAGAAAATGGCCATTGAATGTTTTGGTACCTAGTGAAGAGCTCTTTGTCTACACGCATTCAACATCGTTCACACCCTCTTAAGATTTAGCCCCACCCATCTCGTTTCGCTCTCGGAGCATTCAGAGAGCACACTTGACGTTGGGGAAATAGGGATGTCTAAAAAGCGCAGTCTTTTATTTAACCAGCTTACTTGTTAAAAAAAAAAAAAAACACTGTTTTGAGGCTTTACAGTGTTTTTTAAAAAACAAGTAAGCTGATTAAATAAAAAAGACTGCGCTTTTTAGACATTCCTATTTCCCCAACATAATGCCAACGTCTGTATTTCGCCAAATAACTCAAAATGGATGTATTTTGATGTTCTGAAGTTCTACATCATTTCATTCAGAATAATCTATTATTTCTAATGATGTAAAAGTGGGTAGCATAGTATGCTGTGATCAATTGCTGGTAGTTCAAACTTCAAAATTATATTTTTACTCATGGAACTCTGAGGCCATCCCATTGTTTCCTATAGGGTGAATAGGGGTATGACTGTCTATTTCGCCAAATATCTCACAATGTGTATATTTATTAAAACTTCAAGTCAGACACCATTTTTAAAAATCAGGAGAATGTCCTCTTTGTAGTGATGTAAGGTTGGGCAGCGAGCTCTGCTGTCATCAAACCCTAGCCTTTCAAGGTGTCAGAAATTACACATTACTGTTGGAACTCCGAGGATGACCCATTGTTTCCCTATGGGGAAATTCTACACGGACATGTTTGTCTATTCACCCAAATATCTCAATGTGTATATTTTAATTTGTTCAAGTCGGATACCATTTTTTAAATCAGGAGAATCTCCTCTTTGTAATTATGTCTGGGTAGCGAGCTCGGTTGTCATCGATCACTAGACCAGAAATAGTCAGAAGTTTTCATTTTTCCCTATTCCTCATTACATAAGCACAGTTGACACCATCGAGGTGCAGATGTTTACTTTCTACACGAGTTGGGGGGTTTTCAGTTTCGTCCTAAGAACAGCTTGTAGTGGTAAAATAAAAAAGGGACACCTTTTTTTGTGC